GGGAAATTGTGTCAGTGAGCCTTGTATTTCACCAACAATTGGTGCTCTGATCGTCTGCTTAACAATTCATGAGTGTCTTTAAGCTGCCCGGACTCTGAGCCAAGCGTTCCGCTGAATTTAACACAGACTGAGCAACAGAAGCGACTCCTACACTGGTTGTATGAAGCACGAGGGAGCAGCTCTTCCTACAGGATACTATGCAGATGCATTCAGGTGAAAGCTCTCATTCCTTATTGATTTTAGTGGTTCAATCCACTTTAGCCCCGACGGAGGAAGGGAGCAGGCAGTTAATCACCATGTAAAGAAAAACACAGGGTGAAGAGCCTTTTTACTAACAGATATTTAATCTTACATATCATTGTTACAGAGGGATCCATAAACAGACGAACCGCCAGCGGATCACTAAACGTATTATGAGTCATCCTAAGAGATAATCTGGAAACCATGAACGTCGAAACGTTTGGGCCAATGTTGTGATATTTGAGTGGATAAATTAAAACGTTGACCTGCTGCTGGTGCTATAAAGAGAAGGGGATTACCCTCTAGGGTTCATCCTCTGGGGACCATGAATGCCTGTACAATGTCATGAAAATTCATCCAACAATAGTTTGGATTTCATTGTGGCTAAAAATGGTAAATTAGTGAATCAAGTATTGCTGATTTATGCACCAAATCGATGATTTCTTGAAATGCTTTAAGTGCATAATCATACACAAATACACGAAACCTGACACATCTTTACTTTTTGTACCATGAGATTTAAAAAAGACGTGTTTAATGTTGTTCCTTGTTGTGTGTAATGAGTATTGTTTTTCCGTGTTGGCCTCCTAATCTTAATTTCCCAAGGGGGGGGGGGGGGGGCCGGCGCTGTTGTGCAACACTGTGATGCATTGCTCGGTTAGACAATTACCGTATAAGCAGCGCGGCATTACGGAGGTTTCTAAATCTGAAATCTCTTTTCCCTTTCGGCTGTTGACACGTGTTGGTTGTTGAAAGAACTGAAAACTCGGATCACACGGTTAAAAATTCATGAGCGCCTTCTAAGAGCCCGAAGGTATACGTATACGCCTACGAACTCTGATAAAGGCTCGACTCAAACATGTCCAAGTACATTTTTTAAATGTAAATGTTCTAGAATCTAGATCAACACAATTAAAGGATTTGGCATAAAGACGGAACACACTAGACTTGTGAGCTTTTCATCATCAAGTTAAAAATATATCTGCGTCCTTTAAATATATTTTTAGAGCAAGTTGACTTTTATTGCTCCACCTAATGTATCAATTCTCTGTTGGGTAATACAGTAATTGTCTTCCAGTCTGACGCTATTCCTTCCTTCTTTCTCGTTGCGACACAGCTTTGACTTCGTCTCTCTCTCTCTCTCTCTCTCTCTCCATCTTTTTCACCCCCTCAACTCTCTCTCTCTCTCTCTGTATTTTGGCCCTAATTGAAGGCTGAAAAGAGAGTTTTGTATTCTGGCAGCATCAGACGAAGAAAGTCCTTTGATCACTGTTTACCCCTGCAGGTGGTTCACAGCGGTAGCGACATGAGATACATTTATACATCTTTTCATGTTTTTGCCTCTCTTCATGTCTCTCCAGTCTTTCTTCCCCGTCCCTACTGTACATCGTCCCATGTGCCTAAGAAGACATAACAACCCAAAGTGTATTGTGACCAGCTCTTATTGTGATCCGTTGTTTGTAAAGTGGGCTGTAAATAGTGGAGGGATAACGTTACGACATCCTGTCCTGTGGCACTTTGTTTCTGCACCAGTTCCCATAAAGGACGATGGTGAAATCTCACCACACGATAAGCTGGCTGACGAAACAAAGCCTTTGTTTCTTTGTCTTCTTTTTTTCCCCCTCTTGGGCAAACGGGTCATGGTGGCATGTTTACCCAGCAGAGTCATGGTTTAGTCGGCCATGTGGAGGCTCAAGTGGTGGTTCACACACACACACACACACACACACACACACAAAATAGTAAGACGTCTACCTATCTTGACAGCTGGATTCTCCCAAAAAAAAAAATGCATAAATGACCAGCCGACTGTCACAGACAGACAGGAAGTGTCTGGAACCACAACTCTCTGACTCACTAGTTCGCTCCCTGATTGAGCGTCCAGCTGGTTGACCGGCTCGCTAACTGAAGTGATGTCTTACACACTAACTTGGCATGCTGACCAACTGGTTGGCGTGACACACACACTCAAAGCAACTGTCTTTGCGACTGTCATGCAGGCAGACGGGTGAGACGTCTAAGAATAGATAAAAGGAGGGACAGTGTTCTGAGAACACACACAGACAAAGTGTGACGAATGTCTGCCAGATAAGTTACACGTGCCTTACGCTGCCATAAACACATCATAACACACACACACACACACACACACACACATTAGCTTTGATGTTCAACGCCATCATTTCTCAGCTCTTTCATATCGCCACATATGGAAATTCAATCCTTGGCTCTGGCCACTTCAAAGCTATGTAAACCACCTTCTTACGAAGCATCTCTCTCGACCGGCTAATGCCATTTCCTCCACACGGCTGAAGAGGAATAATCACAGACCCTTCACAGCTTTTATCTAATAAGGCCAAAGATCAAAACTACACCAAGACACGGTGGCATGTAACCGATGCCCTTACCATTGTCATACGGAAGAGAAGACATAATTAAAGACACCGGACTGCATTCATACGGTGTGGAGGATTCAAAATAAAGAACCTTACAGAATACGGTCTATTTTCTCGAATAAGTGAGGGTGCACTTCGTCATTAACAGTAAAAATGTTCTTCTTGTGTTTCCCCAGAATACATTTGTATGCAAACAATGGCTGCACTCACACGAGCCAAATGTTCTGTTTCCAAATGAAAGTAACCCAACAGGGGATTTCCAATGAGGCCGTTTTAAAAGTACATAAAAATGACTCGGGGAAACGCTGCAAAGGGAAATATTGTGACGATGTTTCCCTGTCTCCAATTAGTACGTAAAAGAAATAGTTTGGCATTTGTGGGGAAATGTCCAATAGACCGTTAAATACATTTATAGTCCAGCACACAAACCACTGATTAAGCAAATCAAGAGTGTCTTAAAATAGGCTAAATGTGGCTAAATGAGACTACAAAGAGTCCTCCTTTAGCTTACTGATGGTGACGTAAAGTCATGTGATTTGATCGGCAGCTGAAAAATAATCAGTGCACATTTAGACGCCCTAAATGTCTCCTTCATATCCTAAATTTATATTGAATAAACAATGAACCATGCTTCTTACAGAAACCCTGCAGCACGTATCACAACAATCAGCTTTTATTCCACATTACATGAATTAGAAAAAGGTTCTGACATGCACAGTTTACCAAATCCAAGGCAACAGATGTATCAGAGCAAAATACTCCCGCTATTATTAAATTGGACAAGGCGAAGCAGCTGTGCCCCCCCCCCCCCCCGATGATGCACCGTCTCCTGGTAACTTAACAAAAGGTTTTCCTCAGAGAAAACAAGCAGAGGAAGAAAGACTCAAACGCTGGTTCAAGTGAAGGATGGTGAGTCTTCCCTTGGTAATGTAATTGCCTTACAGTACTTTAAAAAGACTGAATCTTCAAAAAACAATATTATAAAACCGGATAAATTATCATCTGTCAAATGGATTGTAACAGGATCATCCTGTAGCATCCCTTCTTTTGTAAATTAGATGAACCTCCTTCCTAAATGACCAGTTAATTCTATTTTAATGTGTTTAACTTGATGCATATTTCATCTGAGTGGGACGTTAATTACTGGTGGCCCTCGTCGTCATGTTTAATCAATATTAATTTCGAGAATACAGATTTCACCAGGCCGATGTATGACCTTATCTCTGTGTAACTCTTAAGACCAGCCAAAAATCAAATAATATTCAATAGACTCCATTGCTTTGTTTTGCCACAGTTTCTAAAAATAAATCAATCAGATACAAACAAGTTAAAATGATTGATTTTACCTCTAAATGCAGATCATTTTGGTTGACATACATTCACAAACAGACAGACAGACATTCCTGACTGACATTTGACAACAAAAACTGTGTGTGTGTGTGTGTGTGTGTGTGTGTGTGTGCTTGGTCTATAGCCAGTGTTCACTATCAACAGCAGCTGCCAGTCGCACCAGGGTGTCAGGCTGCTGCTGGCATTCACACACACACACACACACACACACACACACACACACATACATTGCCCACAAATCAATACTGTTTCTGCTCCCCCTCCCCCCTCTCTTCACATGCTCCAACACAACAGCGCTACAACACCACTGGGAAATGAGCGCGCACACACAACAGCATTGTTGCATGTGCAAAATTGTTTTGATCCATGACTGTCATGGGCTAAAATGCTGCTGCTGCTGTTGTGTGTATTAATGTCATGTTGTTAACTTGATGGTTAGCATGACCACCATAAGACGCAGTCTCACAGCTGTTCAATAGTCAACATATGTAGCTATATGACAATTTAGCTTTCAAAAATTAGCACAAAAAAATAACCCCTGCAATATAATCCCTCAGTCTCTTTGTGTTTATCATCAGCTTCAGCTAGCTTACATGTCATCCTTACAATAGCATTAGCTTATATACAGTAACCATGAGGGGCTAGCTAAATGTTTGTTGTTTGGTTAAATCGTTGCACTACTGTTTAGTTAGTTAATTTAATATTATTCTATTTCATTGTATATATTGTGCATTTTTTTATATTTAATATTTTTACTCTATTTTTATTGTATATATTGTGCATTCTTTATATTTAATATTTTACTCTGTTATTTTTATTGTATATATTTTGCATTTTTATCCTCAATATTTTTTCCATTTTTTACTCTACTTTGATTGCTCTACCTGTATCATAATGCTGCTGTAGAGGGATTAATAAAGCATCTATCTATCTATCTATCTATCTAAATGAATAACAGATAATAACATCAACATATCCCCCCCTCTGATTAGCATAATGTCCCAGCATCCTCACCGATACGAGGTCTGTTTTCTGAACGCCAGTCCTCTTAGTTTATCCTCCAGTGTTTCCTGTTCCATGTCTTGCAGGCTGCTGAACGTGTCGCTGCAGCAGCCGACGCCAGCTTCCTCCGAGGCGGCTCCGGACTCCGAGTCACCTCCGTCGGCTCCCAGAGAGGCCATGCGCCCGCTGAACCCGCAGGTTCGCTCCTTCGCTTGGGGGTCCATTGCTGGTCCGGTCTATGGATGTCTCGCCTCTGCTCTGGACCCCCCTCTCTACCGGCTTATGCCGGTGGTGGAGAGGAGAATTGGGGGCGTTTTTTTTTGGGGGGGGGGGTAGTAAAAACGACACACGCTGACGTTCTCGAGCGGTTTGACCGTTGTGATTTTCAGACCGTAGACCGCCTTTATGTACACGGGCAGCCAGGCACGCGCAGCACGCGCAGCCGCCTGGACATCAGACCGAACTGCATCTCACGAGCTCCAAACCAACTGGAGGAGAGCTACGTCAAGCTAAGCAACGTCAACCAGGAAGTGTAGCGTCATATCCTTCAAAATAAAAGATCTCTCAAAAAACTATTTAATTACAGCTGTAGAAGAATATCTGAGAACTAGTTGAACAGAAATAATGTAGACATCTGTACTGGTTTGAATAGTTATTTCTGAAAATGATAAATCCCATGATGTATATATGCAGTTATCAGCTATTTTACGTATATTATCTACTACACATTGCCAGCTAATATCTTTAGTAGATACTTAGTTGGATATTTAGTTGGACTTTGTAGTAGGCAAAGAAAGGGAAGCATTAGTGTATTTCATATATTATAGTCTCTCTAACATGATGAATAAGAAAGCACTTCGTTGTGGAACCTCACAACATTTGTGCGCACATTTTATTTCCACTTTCTCTATGTGCACAACTGTAGTTTAGTTATTTGTGGTCACACACGATAAATATCATAATACTCTCTTATCATTACAACACTCTCTGACTGATATTACGGACATAATCATGGACTTTGTTTATATTTTGGCGTTGTGTATGTTGTGAATTTGCAGCTCTGAAAAAGGCCTTTATTTTTATATACATGACCGGAAGTCGGGTATTTGATTATTTGTGCGACTTGACGAGTTTTTAAAAAAAACTGCGAAAGCGCGGCGACAATTAACACGTTCAACTAACTGCAGCATCCTGTCTGTCTGTCCGTCCCTGTAAGCTCAGCCTCCCCCCCCCCCCCCTCTGTGTCTGTCTGTCCGTCTGTCTGTCTGTCCATCCATCTGGCCCATGGGACGAGCAGCGTGGCATTGTGGGATATTCCCTCTCCACCTCCTTTCTGCAGCATCATCAGTCAGAAAGTAGGGCAGAGGGTGAGCGTGCACGCACTCTCACAAGCACCCTCTCTCAGTGTATCACTCTCACACACTAATCACACACACACACACACACACAGACCATATGGTGCGTCCAGGGACTGCGTGTGTCAGAGCCTTCCCGATGATAATATTCTCACGTTGCTCTGCTTTATGTTGAATCATTCTTTAGGTCTTCCTGATGAAAACATCAGGCATCTGTCCGCCTGCTGTTGTCGCCTTGCTGCACTGAGTCAACACTGACCCGAGCTGAACTGTTTCACCTTTGTGTACCTTTATTTTTTGTCGTTTTTTTTCCAGCAGTGGAGCATCTGTCTGCAATCCTATTCACCATAAATAATTTAACGAAACACACCACGTGAGATTACAGACAAACACGCAGTCATTCTAGTTGTAATAACTGCAGTTTGGCTGCTTTCATTTGTCACTTTGACGCTTTTGAACATTAGTTTGATTTCCAGTTAGTCAACATTTGGATTTAGAATCTGGATTTTTTTAAATTTTGTATCACAAAATGTTGATTTAATAAGACTTAGTAGGTCTAAGTTGACATCATATCTCCTAACTTTGGCTTAAGTCAACATTTTGACTGAGAATCTTTTAATTAAATTTAGTAACTCATCATTTTGTCTTAGTAAATCAAATGTTTTGTCTTAGCATATCTTAACGGCTCATAATTGTGACCTACAACGGTCATTTTTACTCTTATAATGCATAACTTTAAATTTATTTTGTGCTTCCACTGAGCACTAATTATGAGGCGATGCTGCTGATCTATTTCAGGATCCTGGTGACGGTGGAGGACACAACGCTCCTCTACAGGCCGCTATGTTAACCCTGAGACACGTGTCTGTCACATGTCTAATGGAGTCTAACTTAATTTAAGCTGCACAGAAAACGCTTTGAAGACAAAAACTATCCATCATACGTTGAAGTAAACATTTCATTTTCGGCAGTTGTTGCACTTGTTTTGGAGAGAAAGCCGCACTTAAGGAAACAAGAAAAAGAGTCTACTAGCAGCATTTATGAGGTTGTTTGTGAGCACCAGAGTTCCTTTAGAAAGGCTCTCATTTTACTGCAGAAGGGTCCTGGTTCCAGCAATACGTCCTGGGTCTCCAGCAGCGTGGTGTCGGTGTTGGTTCCCAGAGAGGAGAAGCTCTGCTCCTGGAGGAGGAGGAGGAGACGCTGCTGCTGCCGGGAGCTGAGCTCTCCTCCTCCCTCCGGAGCTCCGACTCCAGGTCCAAGGCTGCAGGAGAAGCCGGATCTGGGTCTGTCCACGGTGGACCGGTCTCTGCTGGAGGATCTGGGTCCGTCCACGGTGGACCGGTCTCTGCTGGAGTCTGAGCTGAAGGAGTTTCTGGTGAACCTGCATGATTTTATCTGGTTTCACCAGAATCCGACCCGGTGGCCCCGATGACGAGCATTAAGAACAACTCTATAGAAACAGACCATCTTCTCTCTGATGGTCTCTTTACTGATGGAGGTCTGATAGAGGATCAGGACTAAACTGAGACTGGTTCAGAACCAGATAAAAGGTCCTCACAGTAACTTCAAGATGTTAGCGAGCTAACGTTTGTTTTTATGTCTTCTCGAACGTCAACAAACAGACCAAACAATCATCTGTTTTGCAAAATATTCTTTTACTAAAGAAAATACTGAATATTCATTTGAAAGCAAAGAGACAGGAGTGGCTTTACACTGAAGCAACACGGAACATTAAAGCTGATTTGGGAAAAAGCTCTTCACCGGAGGAGACGTTTCCACGAAATAAAATAAATCTAAATTAAAATCTTGCCTTTCCTACGACCTCTCCTGCAGACTCTTGGAGCAAAGACTATCATCGTGCATCCTAACGTACAGATTCAACAACAAATCTTTGACAAAACACGAGACCGAGATATACAAATGTTGTCTTCTAGTCTCTAAACAGGACCGTGGTCTATTTCTGAGGACAGTTTGATTCATCCTCAGTCTGTAAAATATCATTTCTGACCTTTCTGAACTTAAATAACTTGAGTTTTTAACAAATGGGATGTTTGTATTTACAAGGAGTCTGTAACACACATAAACGAAAACTATAAAAACAACTTTAAAACACTTTTAAACTAAAGCCAACAGACAGTGAGGACACACCGTGAAGCTAAAGCATCGTACGTTCATAATTTATCAACAACGTCGCATCCAAAATAGAATCTGTATGAATTATGGATTGGTTTATAAACTAGAGGTCCCGCACACATTTAGACTTGCTTATTCATTCATTCATTACAAAAATAGATGTTTGTTTTGGCAAACGCTGAGAGAACAGAGCGAGGTAAAGACTCTCGGAGCTGACCGTGAAAGTGTTAAAGGCAGAAGAATCGCAGGGTTAAAAGGCCATCAACAGTTACTGCAAAAAGTTCACTCTGTGGTTCCTCTGCACATTTAAAAAACACTTAAAGACGAGAAGATCGATGCCTGTCTCATGTTTGTACGATCAATTCGAAGCTGCTGTCGGCAGGCGGTTAGCTTAGCTTAGCTTAGCATGAAGACTGGAAACAGGGGGAAACAGCCAGCATCACAACTATAAAGCTCAGTAATGAGTACGTCATATCTCATTTGTTAATTAGTGTGTTTTAGAGTTGCTGGAAATTGTTTTTTATATCTTTGGTCAGAACAAGGCTAGCTGTTTCTATACGTTTCCAGTCTTTATGCTAAGCTAAGCTAACCGGCTGTCAGATTTGAGCCGCAGATCGATCAACACACCTAAAAACATCCCAAATATGACTTTCTACCATCAACAATGTTTCTAAATGAGCGCAGGAACGTCGAGCTAAGCCCTCAATGTATGAAATGTCAAGTCAGCTGAAGAGAATATACATAACAATATATAAAAGAGAACAATAAAATAAAAAATAACACAAATATATATATATTATGAACACAAACACGTATCAAAATGGGATGTACGCCTCACCGGAATGGAATAAAAACATTTAATAATAAAAGAACTACGAAGAGCAATAATTTTTTTACGAAAATAACACAAAACAAAAAAAGGTTTCTATAAATACAAAGGTTCTCCGTCAATGTCCTGTAAAAAGCCTCACACGTAGTATTTTAATAAGCTTTCCACTGGAATAAATGCCACGCTGCATTATTCAAAGTATCTGTTGGAATTCATCACAATGTGAGTCAAGTCAGATACAACTGATAAGTTGACTCATGTAAAAAATATTCAGTGCAACCAGCCTCTTAATTATTACTATTATTATTATTATTATCATTACAGTGTATTAAGCAGCGATGGAACAATCAGCAGTGGGAACTACTGCATGAGGTTTGCTCCAGGACACTGAACCAGCTCTACGTGTGTGTGTGTGTGTGTGTGTGTGTGTGTGTGTGTGTGTGTGTGTTGAAATGAATCTCAGGAGGTCTCGTTGACCGTTCGCTCCAGCTCGAACACTTTACTGCTGCTCTCATTCGTCCTCTGCTCCAGAGACCTGAGGGACAAAAGACAGGAGAGTTCAGTGTGTTTATTTTTATTTCATTTCTAGGTCAGGTCATATTGTTTCAATCTAGTTTTTAATACATCGTTTTCAGAAATATTTAGATATATA